GACTTAACTGACTGCCGGTCCTTACAGTCTGATTTAGATAACGTATTTAATTGGTGTCGGCTCAACAAGCTCCATTTTAATGTGTCTAAATGTGAGTCAATGACGTATACATTGAGGAAGAGGCCGATAGAATTTGTATATAAAATAAATAATGTGAATTTGAGGTGTGTTGTTAAAAAGAGAGACTTGGGTGTGTTGTTTTCGCCTGGTTTATGCTTTGCTGAACATATTAAAGCCACAGCAACCACAGCTTTGCGTCTCTTAGGATTTGTCATTAGAAATGGGTACAGTTTCTCAAACTTACAGACGCTGCAATTACTGTTCAATTCTTTAGTGCGATCTAAGCTGGAATATGCGGTAATAGTATGGGATCCCGGGTCAATTCTTTATTCTAATTTAATAGAAACTATTCAAAATAAATTCATTAGGTATCTCTACTACAAAAAATTCCGTGTTTTCATTGGTTTTAGATCGTACGAATTTGCACGCAAATTATTTAAGATCACCAGGTTGTCTCTCAGAAGAAAAATTATATCACTCTGTTTTCTGTATAAAATGTTGAATAATAGTATAAATGCTCCATTAATATTAGAAAATATTGGTTTCTATGCGCCTGCATATTGTGGTAGGCTAAAGAATCTTTTCTATATTCCTCGGTTTTCAACTGAACTGAGACGAAATTCTCCTCTTATTAGAATCCTTTCACTGTACAACACACTGTCGGCTTCTTCCTTCATACCTCTGTTTGGCATTGGTATTAGATCGTTTAAACAACATTTGACACCTTTGATAAGTGCTGCAGCCACCCAGTAGCCAAACTTGATTTTTGTCATTGAATTCTGTAAATTGTGATGTAATTCTGTTCATTTTTTAAAGTTTTGGTTCAACATATCCTCCGCGCGTTCTGTGATGGGTTAATTAACATTTATGCTTGATCTTGGTTGTTTTGCTTGTTTTTATTGGTTATATTATGTGTTAGTAGACTTAAGTTCTGAAATTTGTAATTATGGGCAACCCTGTAATTTCGGAAATAAAATAAAATAAAAAAATTAGACCTAGAAACATTCCGGTTTAGCGGCACGTCTTTCAAGACGGCTAAATCCAAATGACCATGTTCATTTGACGTTCAAAATTGCCTACATCTTCATCCATTTTTCTTCTCTATAATTCATATGAAAGCGTTTTTTTTTTCAGTTTTCTTCCATTCACTTCAAATAGTGCATGATTTTTCCTAATACTGCCACGTTAAAGCCATCGTGTATATCGTAAAACCAGCAAGTGCAATTATCTTGGTTATTATTATAGGTGGAGTATTATAACTAAGACATTATATGAACACTTTTTTACAGATAATTTGATGACGTAGTTAAAAAAAAAACTTCGGTTTTAGATTTTGAGATATAACAATTTTCGTTTTTTTTTTAATGGAAACAACCACTGATTATTCGCTTATTAAATTTGTTATTTTTTTCTGATTACAAAAATATAGAGTTCGACAGGTCTATTTCTTATTGTTTTAGAATAAAGCTAAAAATAAACTTTTTTTTTTAGTATCAAAGAAATTAAATTTACAGTTTCCTGTAAATTATAACTAAAAATTAAAAAAACATATTTCTGATATTTGAAACAAATACATTTGTCGAACTATTTAATTTATATTTGTTTTACACAAAAGTTGGAATAGATTATTTCATTATTTCTTGATTACTTCACATTTTTTATTAATATTATTAAATAAGTTAATAAATTATTGATAGATGGCGCTCATATACATATTTTTTAAAGTCCCTAGATTTACAAAGTACCGCACGGTTAATGAAGCGTGTTTTCGAGCCAAAATGGCGGTTTGCCAGCTTGTCAGTGCATGTCACCACTTATTTACAAAAATAATGCCGTCTTGTTGCCTCTGGAGTTGCAAAAATAGCAGTAAGAAGGGTTTTCGACTCTTCAGAGTACCACGAGAGAAAAAAAGGAAGGAAATTTTGCGTAATTTTATCAACAGAACGAAGTAGTTTTAAATTTCCCGCTTGATTTTCGAGCCAAAATGGCGGCAAACCGCGGTGCTTTGATAATCTAGGGACTTTTTTTTTTGAATTCAAATAAACATAACAACATTTGTTTGTATTCAAAAATTTTCTGAAGTGTCAAATTAAACAAATTAAAAATCCTGTTTTTTAAGATGGATTACGAAAAGTTTAACATGTTAGAATGTTACATATTAGAAAATAAAATAAATTTTATATACTTTTTTAGTAAAATAATTTGTAGCTATAGTACCGTAATTTACAGGAAACTGTAAATTTAATTTCTTTGACGACACTAAAAAAAAAAGTTTATTTTTAGCTTTATTCGAAAACAATAAGAAATAGACTTATCTAACCCCATATTTTTGTAATCAGAAAAAGATAACGAATTTAATAAGGGAATAATCAGTGGTTGTTTCCATTTAAAAAAACGAAAATTGTCATATCTGAAAATCTAAAACCGAAAAAAATTTTCTGACTTCGTCATCAAATTCTCTGTAAAAAAAGTGTCCATATAATGTCTTAGAGATCATGACATGTAAGACTCACTTCAAATTGTATAATTGAATTCAATCCATCCACATCCAATTCAGTACATCCACACCAAAACTAAACTCAACCCAACCAAACCCATCCTCGCCGAAACCAGATTTAACTCAAATCACGAAAGCCAACCTAACGCATCTACACTTGAATTACCCTCAACTAAAATCACGTAACCCAACCGCATATAACTCAACTCATCGAAAGCGGACATCAACGTCGAAACCATATTCAACCCAAACCACCTAAGCTAAGCATAGATCGCCCATACCCAACTCAGTCGCAAACTCAATCGGCTTCAGAGCTAAATCAAACCTTTTACTTACACCTCCTTACAAATCCAAATTAGAGACAATGTAAAGCACTCAAAAACCAAACCAAACTCGCGATTTTCCATCTAAATTGTAATTTAACAGGAAGATGATTAATATCTATAGCAGAAGGGTAAACAATCGTATCTCTATAATAGAAATTTTTAGAAATGAGCAAAACAACGTTTATAGATATTTAATTGTAGAATTTGGTAAATCATCTCACAGTATAAGAAGTTGTAGTTATAAATAAATCATACTATTTTAAATAGTTTTTTATGCTGTCTTAAAAACCATGTTAGTATTATTTTCACTTTGGTTGTTATGCCCTTTAAATTACTGCGCAGACATGGTAACTTATCAGGCAATGATACAGGATTTCTTACAGATTTCGAACTATATGAACTTTTAAATTTTCTCATTAAAATTATCTTTGTAAAAGACAGTGTTAGGATAATCAGTTCGATCTTGAGAATGAACCACATTTGATACATCCATGGTCGGCTGCTTTTTTTAAGCATCTTTTAATTGGTGCATGTGTATGATCAGCTTCCATGTGTGTATGGCCCCATAATAAGAATTTGTGTTCAACAGTTTTTAAATTTGGACAAATTTTCAATAACCATCGATAATTTACCATCATCAAGAGGAACCAGGAAAAGTATTTTCAGCCCATTTAATCAATGCGGACGCGATTTCATTGCCCCCTCTTCCAGCTTCTGATTCATCCCATACTAAGCAATAGGAAGTATTATTTGTTGTATCATAAATAGCCAAATTTAAAATCCATAGCTTAAGATAATAAAAACTTTTGGTTATTTGCTAGTATAGAGTGGACAGACATTTTTATAAATCTAAGATTATAACCTTCGTTTTACCCTTGGATTTTTTACTTTCTTCTTTATCATTTTTTTAAGATTATTCCTACTATCTGCTTCTTTCAAGTGATCATCATATTGTTGTTAGATAGTTTTGATTTATTGGATTTTGATTCTACGTGTGAACGAATAAACTGCATCTTTATATCCCAATTCTTCTCATCACTCCAGTATTCTTTAAAAATCTGCTTTCTAGATTTTGGAGATACCATTCTTTAGCTCATTGAAAAATGGAGATACTGCTTTTTCATAAATACAATAACAAGTAATCAAGAAATATAGAGTTACGATTTTTTGTCAGAATAACAAACCGAATTTATGTTATTTGAAAATGATATTAACTCAAAATTGGGCAAAATTGGAGATACGACTGTTTACCTTTATTATATATTTTTTTTTCAGTTTATGGTGTATGTGTTATAATTGGTTGCGATTTTATAACTCCTTTCTATCTTCTAAGCCAGCGTTCGTCCTTAACTCCATGTTTGTTTAAGCCTTTTTATTCTTTTCACTTCATGCCTCCCATATTTCTCTCGTATGTTGCATGTTTGCCATTCTCTATAGATGTTTTAACCACCTGAGTTACCTTTTTTCTATAAATAGTAATATTGATGTCATTTTTAGATTCCTTCTTATTTGAGAGTTTTTTATTCTGAATTCTCCTTGTTACTCTTCTGATAGGTCACAAATATTTTATATCTGCACAAGATTTTTGTGCAAGGCGTTGTGCTTAATTATTGGAGAGAAAATGTAAGCAAACTTTCTATTTTTTGACTCAGGTTAGGTTTAAAATTTGCACTGCTCTAGAACGTACATGTAGGAAAAGAGTGACAAAAGTCAAATTTTGGAGACGTCGAGCATTGCAACTCTTTCAAGATTTGGGAGTATCTTAACGGATTAATTTATAAGAGTTTCCTAAGATATTCAAGAATTTCTACCGATTGATAACGAAAACTTAAAATTAGAAAAAGCATACATATTATAAAATTAAAATAACTCCATCTACGAATTGATGAAGTGAAATTTACCTCACAAGTAACTTCAATATCTTCTTGTCCAGGCATAAAAATTAAAATATCTCCTGATGGTGGTTGAAGATGAATTTGCAAAGCTTGTTTAACGGCGGCATCTACATAATCATCAACGGGATTTTTACTAAAAAGAGTTTCAACTGGAAATGTTCTCCCGGGAATAGTAAAAGTCGGTACATTTCCGAAAAACATAGAAAATTTGCTTGAATCCATCGTCGCAGAAGTTACAATTAACTTTAAATCGTGTCTACGGGCAACAATCTGTAACAAAAATGACATTGAAATTATTCAACTTATCATTAAAGATTGTTTACTTAAGATTAGAAAAAAAAAATGTAAGAAATATGGTCAATAAGAGTGGGTTCTCGAGTTACGAAGAAATATGAGTGTAGGTCACTCGAGTGTATAAACAATTTACTTTAAAGAGAGACCGTAAACGCAACACGTGCGGAAAAATCGTGCTAATGGAGTACATGAAAAAATGGCTGATTGCTGATGGATAAACGGTTAAAAAGTCGTAAATTCTTTCATTTTATTTTATACGCGCAAAAGTAAGATTACTGATTATTAAAAAGTACAATAACGCAAATAACATTTACGTGATAATTGACGAATGGCGTAAGGACGAATTGTGTTTACTGAATTTATAAGGCTCGACTTGTTTTAAAGTACGTAACTTGTTCATTTCAAATAAAAATTAAATAAACAATACCAAAGTGTGTAGTCAATTTAATCTTAATCAAAACAGTTGATTACATTTTTTTTTATAATTTCGTCATTTTGTTAATTTAACATTACGAAAATTTATGTTTGTGAGTTAATTGAGAAAAAATCGATTAATTTGAATAAAGTAATAATTTATTCTACGAATTGTGTTTTACATTTTTATGTTAAATATGTGACACGTGGTGGATTATCACCGTGATATTCTAACAAGAACAAAAATAGAAATTGCACGTATTTGTGTTCTCACTAATAGTTGTAATAGAAATAAGTACATAATTCTTTGAAGCGTAGAAAAAAAATTTCTCCAGTTGTAAGAGGAAAGATAAATTTTAATAAAATGATTACAAAATACAGCCAAAATATACCTAATGAAATGTTTCATTAACAGTAAAGTTTATACTGGTTAGAAAAACTGATAGGTTGAAATTGGACCAAACTAGCAAGTCTGCAGAACTTTATAACTTGCTTGGTAGAATATCCAAGATAATCTTATCTATAAATTTGGGCATTCACACGTATGATGTTGAATCTGTAGTAGGAAAAACATAGGTTTGTTATAGACACAAGGGCAGCAAGCAGATTTTTGAAGGTAAAGACACGAAGGTGAGCTACTGTGGTTCAAATCATATCTTGATGTAAACGAGGTTCAGGTGCAGAATAAGCAATATAGAAAAACTAAAATGCCCAAAAATACAAGAGTTTTCAGAAAGAACTAACATAACTAGAATTAATCTACAACCAGTAGAGGAACAGTGGCACAACATTTTCCTTCTCTGTAGTATATACAACATGCTCACATACATCATCAATGAATGACTGGAACCTGTTTGATATAGGTTACCATTATTGGTGAATATCAAACCGATTTTAGAAGTGGCAAGTACAATAAAATTGATCCTTAGCAAAGTCTTTGGAACATAACATATATGTACATAACATCTTTATAGACTGTAAACATGCGTATGGCGCAATAGATAAAATAGACTCTATCAAATCCTACAAGAGTTATCGTGCCACATACACTAATACGGTTGATGAAGGCTACATTGAAGAATATTGAAGCAAAGTTGCGAAAAACAATCAACTAACAGATTCTATCACAATAATACGTAATAATCCATGTAGAAAAGATGAAGTAATAAGGTTGACATCTTTGAAAGAAAAGTACTGCGTAGAATCCTGGGAACAATTGTGGTAGAACAACGAGATATATCAACTTTTCAAAGATGTCAACCTCTCCGAATTCATCAGAATATCCCAGCTGAAGTGGGCTGGACATGAGAAGAATGGAGACTTTCAAGAAGGCCACTCAATACAAGAATGCAGTGAAGGAGATGCTACACAAATGTTGGGAATACACAAGAGATCTCTTTGGCCTTCGAGGTTGGAAGAAAGCAACAACAGATAGGGGGAAGTGAAGATAAAGGTGAAGAATCGTTTATTAAAGTATATAGAATGATTTCACTTAAGATGCAATATACAAAAATATATTTCCATAAAACCTACTTACTTTGTCCCACATAAAATGCAACATGGCAATATAATTTGACATTACAGTAAAGCCTCTATATAACGAATCAATACCGGGAACGTAGTGTCCTTTATAGCTCAATAAAAATATACAACAAACTAGCGCTGAACAACAAATAAAATTAGACTAACACTAGAGCTAAAAACATTCCGTTTAGGCGTGCATCTCTTAAGACGGCTAAACCTGAATGTTTCTAGTTCTAGGTCTAATGTTAGTTCTAGTGATAGTGCAAGTGTAACTAGAATCATTCGGGTTTAGCTGTCTTTAGAGACGTGCGGCTAAACCCAAATGGTTCTAGTTCTACATAGTAACGGTGCTAGTCCAAAACTAGAACTAACACTAGACCGAGAACTAAAAACATTCTGATTTAGCCATACGTCTCTTAAGACGGCCAAAACTCGAATGATTCTAGTTCTAGGTCTTTTGTTAGTTCTAGGTCTTTTGTTAGTTCTAGGTCTTTTGTTAGTTCTAGTGATAGTGCTAGTGTAACACTAGAACTAACACTAGACCTAGAACTAGAATTCATTAAGAATTTTATTCATGTTGCAAGTTGAGAATATATTAAAAAATANTATTTTATGCTAACTAGCGCTACCTGCCACCTACCAGCCATCTTAAGAGAGGTGCGGCTAAACGGAATGTTTCTAGTTCTAGGTCTAGTGTTAGTTTTAGTGCTACACCTAATATGATGAAAATGTATATACAGGGTGGTTCAGTTTTTAATCCGGAAACTTTACTAGGATGTAGTACTTGCCAAAATAACACAAGTTTTTTATATAAACATAGGGTCGCAACTCTTTTGTTTTCGAACTATGAGCTGCCAAAGTTGAAACAAAAATTTACATTAAATTTTATCTTTTATTTCAAGTATAAGTAAACCATAGAATTTGAAATTTTCTATGTATGTACTACTGGCTAATACCTTATTTTGAACCATACTTTAAGCTTCCCTAGCGCCCTCTAAGGGGATGAAATTCACAACCCCTTTGATTTTTTTATAACAACTTTTTAACGCCATGGAATATTAACATAAAATAATATTTAATATTTAAGCTTATTCATTATTGGTACGTTTTTGTCTCTTTTGTCTACATTGTACTGTAAAGCGCTGCTATTATTAAAAAAGAAATTTTCTTTTAGCTGGCAATGGAAGTTGTACACTTACTTGGATTTAGTATTAACTAAATAACACCAATTATTATTATTTTCATAAGAAAACCCATAAATAAGATGAGTGTCTGTGTGAACAAATTACGTAGTTTTAAACAATATTAAAAAATTGATATTCTTGCTTAACAACAGTCAAAAATTATTAATAATCATCAACAATTATGAGGATTCGCCGTAAATGAAACTTACAAGTTCTCAGATCCAACTTTTAGAATAATTTTAGCTAAACATGGCGGCTCATAGCGGTGCATGGCACGATATTTTATTTTTTTACACGGAAACTGTTAACTTTAAGGCAAATACTAAAGAGAGAAAAAATTACCACTAAAGAATGAGCTTTACAACCCATATTTTTTTATGTCAATATTCCATAGCGTTAAAAAGTTTTTATAAAAAAAATCAAGGGGGTGGTGAATTTCATCCCCTTAGAGGGTGCTAAGGTAGTTTAAAGTATGCTTGAAAATAAGGTCTTAACCAGTAGTAAATATGTACAAAGTTTCAAATTCTGCGGTTCACTTACAGCCGAAATACAAAACAAAATGTAAATTTTTGGCTTCATTTTGACAGCTCATAGCTCGAAAACAAAAGAGTTGCGACCCTACGTTTATATAAAAAAAACTTGTGTTATTTAGCAAGTACTACCGTCTAGCAAAGTTTCCCGATTAAAAACTGAACCACCCTGTATACATGAAAAGCGAAAAACTCAAACGAAAAACATTCATTTGATGTCGTACGTTAATTTTATATTTTGAGTTATATTGTGAATGTTTTTGTTGAGATTGTTTATTAAAATTTAACGTGTTCATATCTTTTAAAGAAGTTTTCTTCGAGATAATGTTTTTCGTTTGAGCTTTTCGCTTTTCATGTATATATTGACTGTAAGTTTTTTAAACTCTCTTATTTTAATATGTCTTTCGTTTTTGCTAGTTTCGACTGAAGATGAGGGTGTAACCTCGAAACTAGTTTCGATATAAATTTAAATAAAAGCAAGTAAAAGAAGTTTTAAACTAAGATTAGAACTAAAACTAGAACTAACACTAGAAACTTTCGGGTTTTGCCGTGCGTCTTTTAATAAAAGGTTTGACATTTCGGATGCCATGTTGCAACCTTCTTCAGAAACTGGTTCGAAGTGACTTCGAAAACCCGAAAGTTTCTAGTGTTAGTTCTAGTTTCAGTTCTAATCTTAGTTTAATTCACACCGGCCGTGAAAGCCTTCGTACTTATAAAAGAAGTTTTTCTTAGTATTTTTTAATATAGAATAATTCAGGTTTAGCCGCACGTTTCTCAAGACAGCTAGTTCTAGGTCTTGTGTTAGTTCTAGTGATAGTACTAGTGCAAAACTAGAAGTAACACTAGACCGAGAACTAGGATCATTCGGATTTAGCCGCACGTCTCTCAAGACGGCTAAACCCGAATGATTCTAGTTCTAGGTCTTGTGTTGGTTCTAGTGAGTGCTAGTGCAAAATTAGTTTATTTCAGTAAAAATAGATAACAAATTAGCGCTTAATAATAATTAAGACGCACGGCTAAACCCGAAACTTTCTAGTTATAGTGTTAGTTCTAGTTTTACACTAGTACTATCGTTAGAACTAACACAAAACCTAGAACTAGAATCATTCGGGGTTAGCCGTATTGAGAGACGTGCGGCTAAACCCGAATGTTTCTAGTTCTATGTCTAGTGTTAGTTCTAGTTTTAATTGTTATTCAGCGTTAGATTGTCAAAACTTTTCCTTTGCAAAAGTACCTAATGCCTGTACAGGGTGTCCAAATTTCGATGGGTTTGCAGGGTATCTCAGTTATTATGAAAGATAGAAAATTGCGGCTTTCGCGAACCTGAGCTACTTTTTTGTGAAA